GCCTCCCTTCTCCCCTCAGTGTTTTGTCACACAGTCCTGTCTTGTCAAATCTGTGGAGCTCTTGCTGGCAACTGAAATAACTTCTCTTCCTCTTCTTTTTTTTTTTTTTTAAGTTGAGGTACACTTGGGGCGCTTAGCTGGTTCAGGCAGGAGAGTGTGTGACTCTTGATCTCAGGGTTGTTGAGTTTGCGCCCCACGTTGGGTGTACAGATTACTTAAATAAATAAACTTTAAAAAAAATTTTATTTATTCATTTGACACAGAGAGATCACAAGTAGGCAGAGAGGCGGGCAGAGAGAGAGAGAGAGAGAGAGAGAAGAGGAAATAGGCTCCCTGCTGTGCTGATGCGGGGCTCCATCCCAGGACCCTGAGATCATGACCTGAGCCGAAGGCAGAGGCTTTAACACACTGAGCCACCCAGGTGCCCCTAAATAAATAAACTTAAAAACATTAATTGAGGTCTACTTGACATGTCACATCATATTATGATCTTGTTTTCTTACCTATAAAAGACCTGGAATGGTGCTTGGCTCAGGGTTGGTGGAATAAAATAATAAAAATAAATTTATTATTTACTTATTTAGTAAACTCTATCCCCCAACCTAGGGCTTAAACTCATGACCCCAAGATCCAGAGTCACACACTCCACTGACTGGGCCAGTCAGGTGCCCCCCTCTCTCACTCTTTTAAAATTGATTTTTTTTTATCATGGTAAAAAAATGCAAATACAATTTGCCACCTAAATCATCGTAAAGATACAGTTCAGCAGGGCTCATTATGTTTGTGCCCTGGCGGAGCAGCATCTCCAACACTTTTCACCTTGCAGAACTGAATCGTGCCCCCCTTAAAGAGAAGCTCCCCTTATCCTTCTCCCGGCCCCTGGCAACCAGCATTCCACTTTTTCTAATAGGACATTTTTTCCCCCAAGATTTTATTTTTAATTATCTGTCCATCCAACGTGGGGCTCAAATTTGCAACCCTAAGATCAAGAGTCACATGCTCTTCGGACAGAGCCAGCTCAGTGCCCCTCCATGAATTTGACTACTTTGGGGACCTCGTATAAGCGGCATCATGGGATTACATGTTTCTTGTCTGTCTGTGATCTGTTCTCTTTCGAGTGTTGTTTCTGTGCAGACACATGTCTGTGTGAGGCACTTTTTACCGAGGTGTGCTGTGGGTGAGTACAGACGGGAGCTGTGGACAGACCTTCTGCCTCGCCAAGGCACATCCTTTCACCTGCAAACTTACTCATCCTTTTCACATGTTAACACTGCACTGGGCTGTGTCTTAGCACACTTGTTTAGCTCTTTACCTCTGGGCGTTTTGGACCGTTAGTCAGTTTTTCAGAACCATCAACAGTGGTACCGTGTGCATCTTTGTACATTGGCTTTTTATTTGGGTAATTTCATTCCAGTGAATTTGTCCAAAGCAGAATACAAGGTCAAGTTCTGTAGGTCTCGCTACAGTAGGACTGTGATCCAGACACTGAATCAACTGGTAGTTCTACCAATTAGGTATAAATGTTTACTTCCCTCCCCCCAGCCCCATCAGCTTTGAGTTTTGTCAATGTAATGGAACTTCTGTTATGTTTCTCTGAATGTGTAGGGGTAGGACTAACTGAAAAGTAAAAGTGTACCTGGTTTCTTATCATATACATGAACAAAATCTAAAGCTCTTAAGTGGACTCCCTGTTTCAGGTGATTCTGGGATGACACTTGTTAGAAAATCCAACCAAATCTTCTAACACTGGGATGCTGTAATGCTGGGTAAGAAAAGTATTCAGACCAAGGAGCTACTAACCCACTGAACTCTACAAGGGTCAGATCATACAAGAAAATCCCCTCCTTCTCTATCCTGCCTTCGCTTGTTAAAATCCCTCCCTTCCTTGTCCCTTGTGGTCCCAAGGCTTAGGTCTTTTGTCTTTGCTCTCACTGAGTTTAGCCAATGGTTCTCTTATTAGTTTCACACTGGCCTCATCTGGGGAGCTTTAAAAAAAATACTCATTCCTAGAATCTATAGGGATTGAAATTTATTTGCTTTGGAATGCATCCTGGTCACCTGTATTTTTACAATAATCTTCCCAAGTGACACTAATGTACAGCAAGTGTTTCCAGCCAATGCTCACGACAGTCGGTGCTCACTAAATGCTTATTGAGTGACTTACTGATTTGAGACAGGTTTCTGAAGAGTCGTATTCCTTTTTTATTGAGATATAATTCACACAACAGAAAATCCACCCTTTTGGAATGTGAAGTTCGGTGGTTTTAAACATGCTTATAAAGTTAGGGAACCATCATCACTATTAAATTTCAGGACGTTTTCATCATCTCCCAGAAGAAATCCCACACCCATGAACCATGACTTCTCATTCTGCCCTCACCCCAGCCCCCTGGCAGCCACTCATCAACTTACTGTCATAATACACTTGTCTATTCTGGACATTTCATATACACGGAATCATGGCCTTGTGTATCTGGCTTCTTTCACTTAGCATCGTGTTTTCAAGGTTCAGTCATTTTGCAGCAAGCATTAAATCTTCATTTATTTTTATGGCTGAATAATCGTCCACTGGATGGATAGACTACTTGGCTTACCCACCCATCAGCTGATGGACATTTGGGCGGTTTCCGCTTGCCGGCTATTAAAGCTGTTATGATCATTCACGTGTAAGCTTTTGTATGAACATATGCTTTTAATTTTCTTGGGTATATATTTAGGAGTAGAATTGCTGGGTCATAGGATAGCTCTGCTTAATCTTTTGAGGAGCTACCAAATTGGTTTTCAGTGTCTGCACCATTTTACAACCCCATCAGTAATGTGTGAAGGTTCCACTTTCTCTACATCCTCACTAACATTGTTATGATGTTTTCTTGAATATCGTCATCCTAGTGGGTGTGTGAAGCGGTATCTCATGTGGTTTTGATTTTGATTTCCATTTTCCTGATGACTAATAACATTAAGCATCTTTTCATGCGCTTATTGGCTGTTTGTATATCTTCTCTGGAGAAAAATCTACCCAGATTCTTTGCCCATTTTAAAATTGGGGTATCCTTTGTTATGAGTTAATATTCTGATAATTTGGATATGAGACCCTTATCAGACATGTGATCTGCAAATATTGTCTCTCATTTTGTGGGTGGTCTTCTTGCCTTTTTTTAAAGATTTTATTTATTCATTTATTTATTTGACAGAGAGAGAGAGAGAGATCACAAGCAGGCAGAGAGGCAGGGGGAAGCCGACTTCCCACCGAGCAGAGAGCCCAACTCAGGCCTCCATCCCAGGACCCTGAGATCATGACCTGAGCCCAAGGCAGAGGCTTTAACCCACTGAGCCACCCAGGCACCCCGCCTCCTGCCTTTTTAATAGTGTCCTTGGAAGTAGAAACATTGTAAGTTTTGATACAGTTCAACTAATCTACTCTTTCCTTTGGTTGTTTTGTATTTGGCGCTCTTATATTTAGGTCTTTGATCTATTTTGAATTAATTTTTATGTAAAGTGTGATCTGGAAGTCCAACTTTATTCTTTTGTGGTTATCTGGTTGTTCTGGCATAATTTGTTGGAAAAAAACTGCTCTTTCCCCACTGAATTGTCTTGCACTTTTGTTGAAAATCAACTGACCGCGGATGTATCGATCTACTTTTAGATTCTTAATTCTATTCCATTGATCCTTATGTCTATCCTTATGCCAGGACCACATGGTCTTGCTTAATGCGGCTTTGTAGTATGTCTTGAAATTGGAAAATGTTAGTCTTCCAACATTTTTCTTTCCTACAAGATTGCTTTGGATATTCTGGGTTCCATCCATTTCCATATTAATTCTAGGGTCAGCTCGTTAACTTCTGAAAAAGGACAGCTGAAATTTTGATAGGGATTGTGTTGAATTTATATCAGTTTGGGGATTATTGCCGTCTTAACAAGGTAAGTCTTCCAATCCGGGAACAAGGATGACTTTGCATTTATTTAGGTCTTTAATTTCTTTCAATGGTGTTTTGTAGTGTTCAGTGTACAGGTCTTGCACTTTAGTTAAATTTATTCCCAAGTATTTTATTCTTACTGATGCTATTGTCTATTATAAATGAAATTATTCTTTTTTTTTTTTTTTTGCTTCAAAGATTTATTTGAGAGAGAGAGATAGGATCTAAAAAAGAGTCATTTAGATAAAAGTCAGTGTGACCAGCAAGTCTCTTCCCGCCCTGGCCCCCTGGTTTCCTTCCCCTTAGGCCACCACCGTGCTCATTTCCTAGGAGACTGTCTGTAGCAGCTCTCCCGCCTCTGCGGGGGCAGAGGTGAAGGGCTGCTCCAGAGGCCACGTGCCGGCTAATCCTAAAATATTTTCTATCTGATCCTTTATAGAAGAAGTTTGCTGATTCCCTTTTTAGTCTTTTATCTTTTCCAAGGATGCTGCTATGATATGCTAGGACATCTTTATATACATGCCATTTTACATAGTGAGTTCAGATGGAAGGAATGCTGTGAGTGCAATGGCTAGGGCTTACGGTCTCGGTCTGGGTCTCTTTGGCGGCTATTACCAAGCAGCTCTCCGGAGAAGCCGAACCAATTTAGACTCCCTCCGACGATGCATGCTTGGGCCCGCTCCCCTCAGCCTCACACGAACAGTGCGCTAATCATTCGACACTTGCCAATCTGATTAAGTGAAAGCTGGCGCTCATTGTACTTTAAATTTGCATTTTTCTCATTAGGGATAAGGGCAAAGCATCTTAAGTCTAAAATTAAAAAAAAAAAAAACAACACGAAACACCAAACAGTTCCTCCGGGGCCCTTCGCGGTCCAGAGGACTCACTACGCTGGGCCTGGTCCCCCGCTCCCCGCGGGGCGCCGGGCGTGGCCGCGGCGGGAGGCGGGAGGCCTGGGCGCGGACCCCTCGGTGCCCCCCTTCCCTGGTTGGCCGCGGAGCCCCGCCCCGGGTCCGCCTCCCGAGGGCCTAGGCGGAGCAGGCGGGCCGGGGGCGGCGCCGCGCTGCCTGATTTATTCCCGTCCAGGAGCTACAGTGAGAGCCCCGCGGTGTGCACGGCCGAAGCGCCCGCTCCTGCGCCCGCGTCCCCACGGCATGCCGGGCCCCCGCCTGCTGGCCGCGCTCTGCGGCGCGCTCCTCTGCGCCTCGGGACTCTTCGCCGCCTCCGGTGAGTCGATCGCGCCGCCCTTCGGCCCTCGCCCCTCCTCTCCGCGCCGCTGGGAAGTTCGCCGCGGCGCCCTCCCTCCACCACCCCTGTTTACAAACTTGGGCAAAGAGCCGGGCCGGTGCGGAGGGGCGGCTGCTCCGGCTGCGCCCGGGCCAGACGCGGGGATGCGCTCGGCCTCTCCCGCGCTCTCCGCGCTCGGGCGTTCTGGGCAGTGATAGAGGCTTGAGAGTGGGGCGGGGACTGGGGACACCGGGTGACAGCCCGACGGCCCCCAGGGATGGGGCTTACACATAACAAAGGAATCTGCTGTGTGGGGCCTCTCTTTTCCCATCTGTAAAATGAGGCCATTGAACTGCGCCCCACTCTGGCGCGTCTTCCACCTGAAGTTTCTAGGGCTCTTGTCTTGCTAAGTCCTGTCCAGCCAACTTTCCCTGGCTGCTCCCTCGCTAGCCGGCGGCTCGTGTGTTCATTGGAGTTTTGCATCTCCGCTCGGAGGTGTCTGGTGGGATGAGCGCGGGCGGGGAAGGCGGAGGGAGGGGACGGGACATCGGGTGGGGCCCGGGAGGGGGGCCCAAGAACCAGGGGAGGGACTTGGAGAGGGCTGCCTCGCGGGCTGGTGGTGGCTTCCGACTCCCTCCCGCGGCCTTGGCGTGCCGCTGTATCTTCCTCGCTCCTCCTCCCCCGCCGAGGAGGCCTCCCTCGCACAGCTGGGCCTTCGGCGGGCTGGTCCTGCGGATGCCCCCATTTCACCGTGGGGCCCGCACAGCTGGTCGCCTCCAGGGCTTTGAAGAGGTGCCCATGATCGGCGCGCTTCGGGCACCCCTTTCCTCATTTTCTCAAAGAAAACGGGGGGGGGGGGTATAGGGATGGGGTCAAAGCAGAGCCTTGGCGCTCCTTCCTGCCTTCCTGCCACAGTCCGACCCCCACGCCTGGATCCAGAACCTCCCGGGCCCTCCAAGCTCGGCCACACTTGGGTACTTGGAGCTGGTGGCTGTCCAGCGACCCTGAGACCTAGCTGGGTCTTTGAAGTCTCTTTCTGCTCCTCTCTGTCCCCACCACCTGAGCCCTGGCTAAATGTTCCTGGGGAAGTCACCCACAAGGCAGGACTCTGAAACCTCCAAGGTGGTTTCGTGGAGGGTGATGGGGCTTTTCCCGGAAAGGGGAAGTACCATGGGTGCTGTGGGCAGGTGAGTCCGCCTAAGACCTGGGCTGTGGGGGGCAGGGGCCACCTTTCACTTTCCTTTTTTACCCGGTGGACCACTTTGCCCTGGAGCAGCATTGGGGGAGGTGCGGTTCTTTGGGGAGAAGAGGAGTTGAATTTGGTTGGGACAGGAGCCCAGGACTCTGGCCATTCCCAAGGCTCTGTCTGTGGCAGTGCCCTGGCCTGCCAGGTCAGGGGAGGGGATTAACCTGCTATTTAAAGCCAATGACTAATAGCTCATTGGGAGCCGCCTTAAGCTCCCAGGCGCAGCCGAGGTGGCAGTCTGAGGGCTCCAGTGCTCATTAACGGTGTTCCTGTTCCCTCTGTTCCCTTCTCAGGAGCTGGGCCCCGCTCTCTGGAGCTTTGAGATTTCAGGAGCCCCACCCCCAGCATGGGATGGCATGATTCTAGGGGGAGGAAAGCGATTTCTCACGTCCTACCCTATATGGCAGGGTAGGCCCTGCTGGGATGCGAGGGTCAGCTAGGAGAGCCCCCACCCGCCTGGCTGGCCCGGTGGGCTGCACAGATAGCTCCCATCTGTCCCCCAGGCCCTGGGGCCAGAAGCCCTGTGGTCCTCTCCAACCCTCCTCCTCCCTCTGCCGTGTTTCTCAAATCTGCCTTCCCCCTCACCTTTTCACCTAAATTCCTCTCTCATCAGGAAACCCATGGCAGCCTCTCACCCCAGCCACTCCGGTCCCATTTCCACCCTGGAGCCAGAGAGAGCTTGGTGTGGCCCCAGGATACTTCCCTGCCCCAGGGGAGCCTACACAGCTCTGCAGATGGCCTTTTCTCCGTATTCACCTTCCCAGAATGGGAAATGGCTTCCTCACTCCCACCTCCCTCTTGGGAAGTCCCCCCCCCCTTTTTTTTCCTTTTCCCTCGGTGGATGACGGTGGGCTGCTGAAGGAAGGTTAAGGGCTCCCAGTCTGTTGGACGGGAAGTCTGAGCTTGTCATTCCTAAGGTCCCTGCAGGTCTGGCCCCTACCTACCCTTTTTGCTCTGTCATCCTTCTCCACAGCGTACCATGGTCCTGTACTCCTCTCCTTCTTTAGAACATTCTTTCCGCCCTGTTTGGGCACACTCCACTCCACCTCTTAGACCCAGCTCCCCTGTCCCCTCTGCGACACTTCCAACTCTGGCAGAAGCCACCCCCAGTGGCCCTTCATGAAGGCTTCTGTCAGAGCTGGTGATGCCTCTTCACCACCCAGTGACTGTCCCCCTCTTTCCAGTGGCTTCTTGAGGCCTGGACCATACCTGGTTCCCCTGTTTCAGCGACCCAGCATGTGCATGGTAGGGCCCCCCCCCCGCCCCCAGTATTTACAATGAATGACTTGCTATTCTTGAGTCGGAGCTGGTGACTTTGCAGGTGACTTCTGTGACTCTAGCCAGTGCCTGAATGGTGGGACCTGCATATTGGGCCAGGACAACACCCCCTTCTACTGCCTCTGCCCCGAAGGCTTCACGGGCCTGATCTGCAATGAGACGGAGAAAGGTACCTGCACCCCCCACCCCGCTTCGCCTCCAGCTCCCAGCCCCTGCTGCTGGCCCTGCTTTGTCCCCTAGTGGGTGGAGGTCCCCAGCACCTCTCCTGTGCTCAGCCAGCATTTCCCTGGAAACTCCCCGTGTCACTTGGAAAGCTGGGTGCTTCCCTCCCTGGGACTGATTCGCCTACACCTGACCCTTCTTGGCGCCAGGCTGGCCCAACTTCCCATTAGGCAGAGGATGGCAGAGGGAGGCGGGCAGGGGGCCGAGTCTGTGCAGCGGGTCCTTTTGGGGCATCTGCTGCTACCCTTCTCCATCCCTGGCTCCTTCCTGATCCCCTGCCTGCCTTACCTGCCTCTCCATCCCTAGGTCCTTGTTTTCCAAACCCCTGCCGCAATGAAGCCGAATGCCGGGTGGTTGACGACTCGCACAGAGGGGACGTCTTCACTCAGTACGTCTGCATGTGTCATCATGGCTATACAGGTGTCCACTGTGAGACCAGTGAGTATCTGGGGGAGGCTGCTCTGATGGGGGAGGCCCGGAGCAGCCCAGGCCACATGCTGGCCTCATTCCCTGCCTTAAGGTTTCCTCCGGTAGATCGAGGGGAAGATAGAGCCTCAGTTTGCGCTTCTGTTGTCCTGGACTAATTTCTGCTTGGCCTTTTGTCCTCAGGCTGCAGGCCAGGCCTGATGTCGCTGCAGTGGACAGAAGGGTGGTGGTGGCCCCAGAGGTCCTGGGAGTGCTGCTGCCTGGGTCACCACGAACCAGACCCACAGTGTTAAGATTAAGTCCTGAGAGTTTTCTCCCAAGAGGGGGAAACAAATACATTCTTAATCCTAGGGCCCAGGAGGTCCGCAAGTAAGGCTGGGGGCCTTAGAGTCTGACGGTTCCCGGCCCAAGTTTGACCGCGGCCTCATCACAGAGCTCAGGGAGGAGGGAGAGGCCTGGGCAGGCTGGGCCGTCCCCTAACGGTCAGGCGGTCAGAGGCCCGGCGTGTGCAGAGGGGCTGACCGGCCCGGCTGCCCGGTTATCCACTCAGCCACAGAATGGCCCTGGGTGTGTGCCCAGCCTCCAGTGCTGGCGGTGGCTGTCCACGCTGTCCTCCCTCCTGGCTCAGCTGGAGTCCCTTCCCCCCAAGCTGGGACTTGTCCTTGCCTGCTGCAGGCGGGCGGGCAGGCGGCTGAGTCTGCATCTTCGGGGGGTCTGGGTTCTTCCGGCCAGTGGGTCTGCCGCCGAGCATCTTGGGCCACGGGCAGGCAGTTCCCCTTCCCGCCGATGTGGGGCTGCTCTCTGAGGCTGATCTGAGAAGGGGGGGGTTGTGGGCCAGCTGGGTGGGTGCTGGGGCCTGGGGGAGAGCACCTCCAAGGAGGTGGCAGGGAGGGCCTGTCCCTTGGGCTCGGGGCTGAGGCCAGTGTCTTTTGGAGACACTGGGTGGAGGACTGTGTGCATGTCTGTGTGTGTGTGCGTGCCTGTGGTTGGGGGGTCCCTAAGGCAGACAGCCCTGGGTGGGGCCAGGTGTGCCCACTAATTACTGTGCGGGGAGCCAAGGTTACCCTGGGTGTGCCGGAGTTGGAATTAACCCACCCAGCCTTCAGCTCTGTGGCCTGGGGTCTGCCATGGGTTGGATGCAGAAGGCAGGAGGCAGCCACAAAGGTGGGGGAGCCCCCCGAGGGACCATTGCAGCCCCTCCAGAGGGAGAAGGAGAAGCAGACACTCGTAGAGCAGGGAATCTGACTGGTGTGGGCTCGATCCCAGGACTGTGAGCTCATGACCTGAGCTAAAGGCAGACGCTTAACTGACTGAGCCCCTGAGGCGCCCCAGGATCTGCCTATTCCTTCATGTCTAGTACAAGTACTGTTCACTGCCAACTGGGGTGTCCCTTTTCCCAAAGCTGTTCTGGGGACGCCAGAGGTGGGGCTGGACACGTTGGTCCTCCTGGTGGGCTGGGGACACTGAAGAAGAGTGGGTCCCACTGGAATTCCCTCCCACCAGTCTGGTCCCTGGCTGCCCGTCCCAGTGATGGCACAGGTGCTGGCCTGGCCTGGAACCTTCGGGCAGCCCTGGGTCCCAGCTCCCCTTGTCTCTCTCTCCCCACCTCTTCCTTACCATGCACCTTTTCTTGGACCCTGAGAGTCCTTTCCTGATCTCTGCCCTGGGTCTCAGCAGAGGCCACACTGTGATTTTCCAGTCATCTGGGGCCCATGTGCTTGGGTGGCCACCTGACTGCCACCTCCCCCTTCTCCCCCTCCCCCCTGTAGTCTGCACCATGCCGCTGGGCATGGAGACGGGTGCCATTGCCGACTCGCAGATCTCTGCCTCCTCTGTGCACTTGGGCTTCATGGGTTTACAGCGCTGGGCCCCAGAGCTGGCCCGTCTGCACCGCACGGGCATCGTCAATGCTTGGACAGCCAGCAACTATGACAAGAACCCCTGGATCCAGGTATGGAAAGAATGGCTCGGGGGGTGGGGGAAGGGGGGCGGCGGAGTGATGGGAGAGAATCTGCTTGCATTTGAGGGGTCACAACCGAGGTCCAGGTAGCAAGCTTGTGGTTTCCCACAGGTGAAGTATCTGTCAGTGCAGAGCAGTATTGCAGGGGACTGGAGTCGGTGGGGGGGCAGATGGGGAGCAGACCCCAGGCTGCAGAGGGTTTGTTTGCCCTGGATGCAGCCTTTGGGGTCCTTGTCCTTCTCTCTGTGCGTTCTTGAGCACTGGGCCCAAAGCTCTGAGAGGCCCCGATGGGAAAGCCCCTCCTTATTTCTGGGCAGGGGGAGTGGAGAAGATCTAAAGAACCCAGGAGATAAGGGTACTGTCCTCCCTCCCGGGGTCCAGGTGAACCTGATGCGGAAGATGCGGGTGATGGGCGTGGTGACACAGGGCGCCAGCCGCGCAGGCAGTGCTGAGTACCTGAAGACCTTCAAGGTGGCCTACAGCACCAATGGACACAAGTTCCAATTTATCCAGGGTGCGGAGGGGACAGGAGACAAGGTGAGGGCTCTAAAGAAGGGCTGTGGTCCTCATCCTCTGGGGCCCTAGAGCTGTTTGAGGGCTCCCAGTGGAGGGAGGGTATGCTGGACCATTAGCCATGTGGTGGGTCATCAGTTGCCTCTTGGTTCCCAGAAATCGGGAAACCTACATTATGCCCATGTTCTGTAGTTACAGGTGATAGCTCTTACTTTATAGATGAGGATAATGGACTCAGAAAGGTTCAGTGACCTGTTGAGGGTGGCTGTAGTGGTGGAGGTGGGAGGCATTCTGAGCCTTCAGGGCTACCATGTACAGCTGTGCAGGTTGTACACTGCTTAAGGATGTCATTTCTAAGTGAGCACCATTCACAGTGTAGACATCATGGGTTTGTGTACTTCTGCCTATGGGGAAATTAGTATAATAAAGTGTCTCGGGAGAGGAGTGTCTTTTCCCAATTTGCAGAGGCACCCTATAGGTGATAGGTAGGCATGTGTGCAAGATAGGGGTTCATGCCCATCCCCCATGACGACCAAGAAAGATGTGAAGAGGGGTGGCCAGAGGAAGAACTGACCCCCTGCTGGCTCTGCTAAACCCCATCTCTGCCTCCCAGGCCTGACGAGGGAGGTGAAGTGACCCCAGGAAGGTAGACTGCCCATGCTGACCCATGCTCCAATCTGTTTTCCTCCTAGATATTTGTGGGCAACATGGACAACAGTGGCCTGAAAGTCAACCTGTTTGACTTCCCTCTGGAGGTGCAGTATGTGAGGCTGGTCCCCATCATCTGTCACCGGGGCTGCACCCTCCGCTTTGAGCTCCTTGGCTGTGAGGTGAATGGTGAGTACAGGGGAGCTGGGGCATTGCTAAGGAATGGGCTTCCCTGCCCACTTCCTTCTCAGCCAGGTGGAGCTGGGTAGGACAGCAGCAAGGCCAGGGGACCTGGGCTCCCACAGCAGATGCACACCAGAGGGACCACCTGGCCCTCGGGGCACTTGCCTCCGTGTTTGCGGCATACCAATCCTTGGCGTTTGGTGTGGTGGCAGGAAAAAGACACTCCCCCAGTTGTCAAAGTATTTTCTGTTATTCTGATTGGTTCCTTGAGCTTCTAGAACATGTAGTAGGAGTTCTGTTTTACAGACATCAGCTTCCTGAGGTCAGGGAGTTTGTTTTCTTCACGGCTGTAGTCCCAGTGCCTAGAACGGTGTCTGGATTATAGATGTTCAATAAACATTTAACGAATGAGTGAATGAATACAGAGAGGGAGGCCCCGATAAATTATTTGTCAAGTGCACACAAGCTGGTTGGTATTAAAACTTGGTCTAGATCCCTGGGCTTTGGACACCCACCCATTTAGTGCTCCCCCGGCCCCTCCCTCTCCCCCCTACCCCCCCATAACTCATCATTCAAGAGAAACGTGGGGACTTCGAGAGTCCTAGGCCTGGAGCTGGTGCTTTCTGCTGCTCTTTCCAGAGAGACTCCCATGTGGAGGAATGGGGGGAGACACCAGAAAGAGATGGGTTTCTGATGAGCCAGGAAAAGTCATCAGGGACCCTCAGGCTGCAGGGGCTAGGCTGGGCAACTTTGTCTCAGCCCTGGGCTCTCAAGCGCTGGGTTTTTTCCCCTCTCTTTGCGGTGACAGCGCCACCTGCTGGCCGCTAGTGGAACTTCAGGACTCGCTAGGCGGAGCTGCAGAAAACCCACCCTTTTAAAGTATGAATTTAAGTCATTGCATTCCTTCTCCCAGGGTCATTGCTTTTTTGAGCCTTATTGTTTAAGTGGGGGGGTTAAAGACTACCTTTTGCTAAAGGGAAATTTAGGCTGTTGATACAGGACAGGTGTGGGGGCTCTGCAGCCTTTGGCTGTATTAAAGTTGCCTGCATAGTTCACGGTCCTGTCCCAGCTGGCTCCCTCCTAGGCCAAGAGAGGACAAGCCCGGCAAGCTGTGGAAGCTGTCCTGCCTGCATTCCTCGAGATCTGGATCTTCTCCTTTCCCTAGTTGGCATGCCAGGGGGCTGGTGAGAGTGTTGGTGTATGTGTGTATGGACACGTGTGTGTGCATGTGTGCACATGTGTGGCACTGAGATCTGGGGCATAAGGACGCCCCTGTTGGGATGGCTTTTGAATGGAGGCTTGGATGACAGAGCAAGCCACAATGAAGAACTTGGAAAGAGCATTCCAGGCAGATGAGGAGCTGGCAAGTGCAAAGGCCTTGGGGTATGTTGACGGATCGAAGGCAGGCCAGTGTGGCTCGAGCCTAGACAGTGAGGGGCAGCTTGCTGGGCGGTGAGGCTGGAGAGGTGGATGGAGCCTGGCGAGCTGGGCTGAATGGATCATTTTAAGGATTCAGATCTTTGTCCTCAGAACAAGGGGCAGCCATGTGGGGGTGGGGGACTGCTAATAGGAAATGATTGGAATGTGTCTAGAAGGAATCCCTTAGGCTGTGTGGGGAGAATGGGGGCAGAGGCCCATCATGGGGAGGGGAGTGGGAAAGTAAGGTGGCTTGGATCAGGGTGGTAGACTTGCGGGATTGGGTTACAGCCCTCAACTCAGCGTGAGCTCCAGGGACCCAGCAGTATGAGCATCACCTGGGAGCTTGTAGAAACTCGGGCTCCAGCCTCATCCTGGACCCACGGAGAGAGAATCTTCATTTTTTCCCTTTTTAAAATTTACTTGACAGAGAGATCACAAGTAGGCAGAGAGGCAGGCAGAGAGAGATGGAAGCAGGCTCCCCGCTGAGCAGAGAGCCCGATGTGGGGCTTGATCCCAGGACCCTGACTGAAACATGACCTGAGCTAAAGGCAGAGGCCCAACCCACTGAGCCACCCAGGTGCCCCCAGAATCTTCATTTTAACAATATCCTTGGTTGATCTAAGAGAAACACCCCTCTGTGGGGTCCTTCCCAGGGTCACATAGCGAGGGATGGAGGGGAGAGTCCTGGCCTTTGGCGCAGTGCCCTTCCCCGTGGCATTTTCCCTGGAAGGCTGATTTCGTCAGCCTCTCTGGGAACCACCTGCCTCCTGGCCCAGCAGCCTCTCTCTCTGGGAGGAGCATGGGGATGACCTGGCATGCCACCATCACAAGGAGGCATCCAGCCGACAAGGGCACAGCTGGAGGCAGAGGTCTTTAGTGGTGAGAGTGCAAGTGTCTGGGGAGACGGTGATGTGAGGCACCATATACTCCAGCCTGCTCTCAGCTCAAGGCATGGCTCTCCACGCCCGCTTCCCCCACCCCCGGGTGCCCCCAATAGAGCAGAGTGAGGATTCTGCCTGGCATGAGACATACCCATCATGGTCTTGGGAGCTTGGTCTCCTGCCGCCCCTCCCTAACTGTCCCAGCCACCTGCCGGTCGGTGTGGCTATGCAGAAAAGCCGGGCACATTGCTGAGCGGGGCAGGCCTGCTCAAAGCCCAGGCCAGCTTCCCGGGCCTGAGTGGCAGCACCGGGAGGACTCTGTATTGAGCGTGAAGGCCCCCTGGGCGACTCAGAGGGGCTGCTGGGCAAGGAGATGGGATCCGCCCTGAGCCCTGGGGATCCTGACTACTGTCATTTCCACCTGCTGGAGGGCAGCCATGTGGTCCCCTTCATCCCCGGGTTACCAGCAGGCAGGCCTTCATGGCTCTGGGAGGGGGTGTGGATGGTGGCGATGACGTCACAGCCTGGTGTGGTGAGTAGGAGTGTGTCTGTGTGTCTGTGTGTACGTGTGAGAGAGAGAGACAGACTTAGGCACAATGCTTACTATCTCGGCCTGTTTCTGTACCTATAGAATGGGGTTACTGATACGGCTTTCAGGTTCCTGGTAGTGATCGAAACCGCAGAAGTGAGCACTGGATCAATGGGTTACTTGTTGCTGATGTCCTTGACCAAGATCTCAGGCCTCAGCCTTGATATAGATAGCAGCTGGACCATAGGAGTGAGAGAGAAGTCCCGTAGGGGCCTAAGTTCTGCCCAAATGAGGTGGTCAGGGCAGGCTTCTTGGAGGAGGCGTCTAATGAGTCAGGCCTTGAAGGCGTGGCGGAGGTGGTGGCAGAGCCTGCCCTTGTGCAGAGGGGACGGGCGGTGGGGGATCTGGGAAGGGCACATCAAGGTGGGGGTGGGAACTGAGGGCAACTGGCCTAGGGGTGGGCAGAGAGAAAGCACAACCGTTGACCCCCCAGTCCGCCTTGTGTTATTGCTTCTGGGAGGCTGCTGTAGGTCGTGATCTTGATGACAAACCCCTTTGCTGGCAGGATGCGCGGAGCCCCTGGGCATGAAGGACAACAGCATCCCCGACAAGCAGATCACGGCCTCTAGCGTCTACAGGACCTGGGGCCTGAATGCTTTCAGCTGGTACCCCTTCTACGCACGGCTGGACAAGCAGGGCAAGTTCAATGCCTGGACCGCTCAGACCAATGATGCCTCCGAGTGGCTGCAGGTGTGTCGGGCTGCAGGGCTGCAAGGCACAGGTTGGGGTGGGATCCATGGGTTGACTGATCTTTGACCTCTGCCAAGCCCAGGCTTCTGCTCCCCAAGAGGGTGCGTCTGAAAAGCCTTATTTTTAATTCAGTGTTATTTCCCTCCTCCTTTGTGCCGCACCTTCTCCGGATTTGGCAACGGAGAGAGGTGTGTGTGTGTGTGTGTGTGTGTGTGTGTGTGTGTCGCGCGGTAGAGCCATCTCCACCCGCGGTCACAAGCTCACCAGGCTGAGCCCGAGGACAGTAGGACAGGACAGAGGAGGGACACCTGACCCGGGCAGGTGCCCCACAGGACTTCCCTGCCTGACACTCGGTGTCTGAGAATACCCTATGGGACAGCCTTGGATTTCATGAAATTGGGAGCCAGGAGAGTCCCAGAAAACAGGGCTGTCTGCTGATGTCCTCTGTGAGGGAACCATCCTGGCTGGGTGAGGGTTTGCTGGGGCCTTGCAGCAAGTCAGGTGTGCCAACTGGGTCTAGGGACACCTGGGGCCTATCCAGGGGCAGGTGGCAGGCTCCCCGGATGCTCGGGACTGGGAGCAGGACCTGTGTCTCTCGGTTCCCAGTTGCCCTTAGCCTGTAGAGCTGGGTTTTGTGAGGAGCTGCCTGCGTTTGGACTCCTTCGAGATTCGTGCCAGGCTGCAGACCGCCATGCTGGACACCTCAGGAACCACGCCAGCGTCTCTCCTGTCCTTGTTCTCTTTGGACCGGGGGAGGGGTGGGGACTGGCTGCGGGTTGGCCAAGGTCCGGGCTCTAAACTCTAGCTTTGCTGCAGTGAGGTGTCTAACAGACTGTGGCAAAGTAGGTGACAGGCTTTATGTCCCTCGTATAAATGAGAAGGTCGTGCCAAATACAGTAGCTTTGCCCAAACTGGAAGCCCTGCCCACCCGCCTCCCCAGCCTGTCTGCCTTTTGCTACCTTCTTGGAGAGAGGGGTCGACACAAACACAACGTGGTTGATTTTTCCCTGTAGATTGACCTGGGCTCCCAGAGGCAAGTGGCTGGCATCATTACCCAGGGGGCCCGAGACTTCGGCCACATCCAGTATGTGGCCGCCTACAAGGTGGCCTACAGTAACGACAGCATGAACTGGGTCGAGTACAAGGACCAGGGGTCTGTCGACAGCAAGGTCAGTGTCTGGCCAGCCCACGTCCTGCCACCCCTCCAGGGTTGCCCTTGGAGTCTGGCCAGGAGCTCTGAGGGGGGGGGCGGGGCAGGGCGGGCCCTGGGGCCCTCCTGACGACCCCCCCCCCCCGCCTCTGCCTCCAGATCTTCCCTGGCAACTTGGACAATAATTCCCACAAGAAGAACATGTTCGAGATGCCCTTCCTGGCTCGCTTTGTGCGCATCCTGCCCGTCGCCTGGCACAACCGTATCACCATGCGTGTGGAGCTGCTGGGCTGTTAGTGCTCGGCCTGGCCGGAGTGACCACAAGGGCCTTGGGGCAGCCGCCCCGTACCTGGTCCTCCTGGCCTTCTGGTGGCCTGCTGCCTCCAACACTCCACCTCCTGATTGTCTGCGACCTGGGGTGGGGGTGGGGTTCAGTCACCCCTCCCTCCCAACCCCCCTACCCCCTTTCTCCCTGCCCCTGCTGCTGTCCCGTTCTCTTAGGCCCTGTGGGAGTGAAGTAGGTCTGGGATGGAGTGGGAAGGGCAGAGTAGGGAGTGGGGGCTGCATCTCCCCGGATCCCTGGTTCTAGTCTCTAGTGTTTTCCTGACACTCGCTCCCGCCCCCCAAGTGCCCACTGCCCCCGGAGGAAGGCCCTGAGGCACCAGGCTAGAGATAACGGTCTCATGTCCCTCAGCACGATGCTGCCACTCCTGCCGCTGCCACCAAGCCCTCTGACACATCCCCCCCTTATCTCCCTGGAGACCTCTTGACCCTTGGCCTAAAAAGAGACAGAAGGGAATGGGGTGGGTGGGCTTCCGGAGAGATAGGGGTGGAGGTGGGTGGCCTGCGGGGGAGGCACCCTCTGTGCTGGTTCTTTACCCCAGAGTACACAGGCAGCTTCAGAAATATATTTATGTCACCCCCTGGAACTCTTGCTGTGGTTCATCATTGCTGCATCGGCATGGGCTGCTGCTCCCACCCTCCCCCCTCCGTCCTCCCAGAGGCAGGCATGCTGGTGTCACCTACCAGCTTAACAGCTGGAGAAGGGAGGAGACTCCTCCGTCGTGTCCCCGCCGTTCTCCAGCCCCCTGACCCATGCAGCCCCGGGGGCCCATAGCTGTTGCCTGGAGAGGGGCCGGTGGCGGGGGGCGGGGGGGCGCGGTGCTGGCACAGAGGCTGTCTCCATGAATGCCTTTGTTCTCCTCCCCAACCACAACCCCACTGCTGAAGCTGTTGATTTTTGGCATTTTCTCTGCATCCGGCGTGGTGGGCTGTAGAAATGACTAGAAACCCCATGAACCTGGGCTGCTTTCAGAGCTGGGGGAAGCCCCGGGGGTGGGATGCAAGGAAGCAGCCAGGGCTCTGGCTGGTCACGAGGCCTCCTGGCGGAGTACACAGGTTCCTGGGAGGCTGCTGGCAGGGCGGCAGGGCTGTGGAAAGCTCCAGGGGTACCCTCTGCCGTTTCCCCCGCCCCCCATGCTGAAGACATCAGGAAGTAGCCAGCGAGGGGCAGTGCAGGCCAGCGCCTTGGTGATCTGGGAAGGAGACCAGCAGGTAGAGGAGGGACGGACTAGTGGAAAGGGGTATAGGAAACCACCCTTGTATCCCAGGCTGTGGGACACAAGGTGAATTTTCTGGAACAAACTTCAGGAGCCATGCTGTGATACACATAGGCGCCTCCTGGCAGATCTGGGCCATGTGGCTGCCAAAGAGAGGGTGTGGCTTTGCTGGAACTTGGTGAGGAAAATTAGTCTGGAAGTGGCTCCTTCCTGAGAGCCGCCCTTGCCAGGGATTCTCAGCCGGGCAGGGGCAGAATAAAAGGCCCAGGCTGTGGTCTCCGAGCGAACTGGCCATTGGGGCTCCCTACCTCCGGGGAATCTTTCGTCCCACTCCTTCCTGTTTCAGAGAGCTCTTCTGGGGGGCTGCATGGATTGTGTCTGGAGTCAGTCTAACGGGGGGTGGGGTGGGGGTGGTTGTTGGCCTCGGGACTCCCTTTTTTTTTTTTTTTTAAGATTTTAGTCATTTATTTGACAGAGATCACAAGCAGGCAGAGAGGTAGGCAGAGAGAGAGGAGGAAGCAGGCTCCCCGCTGAGCAGAGAGCCCTATGAGGGGCTCGATCCCAGGACCCTGAGATCATGACCTGAGCCAAAGGCAGCGGCTTAACCCACTGAGCCACCCAGGCGCCCCTCGGGACTCCCTTTTGGGAGCATTTCTTAGCCACAAGCCTGTTCTGGCCTCCCCTGGGGACTAAGGCAGCGGGAGAAGCTGCTTTCCTCCACACCTGTGCTCTGGGATGGTTCCACTGTCCCCCACCTCCAGGAATGAACTGCGCCAGGGGTCTTGCTAGAACCCAAGGAGTCCCACTTACATAAGGGGAAATAGTTCACAGCTATCTGTCCACAAGCATTCAAGGCACTGAATGTTTGCCGCAGGCCCATCTCGTTGGCCGTACTCACAAGACCCCCACCAGGCCTGGGAGCCCCGAGGGCACTCTGGAATGGCCTAAACCACACAGGCCCCTCTGCTCATCTCTGTAATGTAATCTTGGATGAGTTGGCCGGAGCCTGAAAATTCCCCTCTGGAGAGCCTGGGGCCCTCACTCCTGACCCTCCCCCTGGGCAGCCTCCCCGACTAACACACACATTCACCATCTCCTCCCCAAATTTCCTTTTTCATTCCTGACCACAGTCTGGAGAGCCAGGACTGAGATTACCTGCTGGCCAGCCCTGGCCTTGGCTGGCGAGTGACATTGCATTGCTGCAGCAGAACTGACCTGCCCAGCTGTGGTCCTTCTCCCTTCTCCTGTGGTTCTCAGCCCTGGGACCCTTTGAACCCCCTCTCCCAGGAGTCCAGTCTACTTTATGTTCCTGGCTTAAATAGGGTGGAGTCATTAGGAACTTAGGTTGGAAAACCAGAGTTCACCTCTTGATCCCAAGGGGCCTGAGGCAATTTACCGAAATCTCTCTGGGCCTCAGTTCCTTTGTCTGTAAAATGGAAATAACAGGACCAGCTCCATAGCCTTGTGGAGGCGGACCAGAGATCCCCAGATGCAAAGTCTGGGTCTTGGGAGGCCTCAAGCATGGGTCGCCCACAATCAGAGAAGCTTGCAAGAGTTTCCTAATTGGTGCTCAAGTCTTACTTCTCTAGTCCGTCTCCACTCAGAAGTCAGACGGGTATCTCCTCCTCATGGAGGAACCTTCACTGGCTCTCTGATGCCCAGCATTCACTTTGGCCACAGTGTGCTCTCGTGTGCTCCTGGCTCGCGTGTAACACACACACACACACACACACAGGCACGTGCACATGCACCCACATGCACACAGGCATTTGAAGTGTGTTTAGGAAGACTCTGGACTCAGTGACCCTGTGACATGTGGCCCTTCTCCCGACTAGGGTCAAAGGACTCTGGGCTTTTCTGCTGAGGGAAACTGTCCAGCCCAGGACCCTTGTTGACCAGGGTGGAAACAAAACACCCTTTCCAAACAGAAGTCCTAGGAGGGGTGGTGCCTGCCAGAGGGCTGAACAGATAGATGTCGGGACTCTGAGGCAGGGCCCTGCCCCTGTTGGGGCACCAGTCAGAATCCTGGTTGCCCCTGCTGGCTGCTGGGAGCACCCCTAACTTTGCCTTTCCTTCCCCCAAGACCACTGTTTCAAGCCCCTTCTCCGAAGCTCAGTGTCCTTGTGCCTGACACTAGCTAACAGTCTGCCTGGGGACCTCATGATGGCTAAACTCATGGGCAGGAGGGAGGTCGCGGACCCCTTGCCTCATCTGGGCGGTAAGCACACAGGACGTTTATCTTTCCTGCTCCTGGAAGGGGGGGGCAGCCATTGCCCGCCTGCTGAGTGCTGGAGAGGGGCTTAGTCCCACTGTTTTCGGTAAACCAGAGTGTTCTAAGGGGACCTTCCTCAATAACGCACCTCTTCCATCTCCCACTTAACCTCTCCAAGCTGTGACAGCAACTCCTGCATATTCCCTTTACGCCCCACTAGCATCTCAGAATTGGAGCCAAGTCGGCAGCAACTCCTCCCTTTGGGCCCAGCCCTTGGAAGGGAAAGGGGCGTGTGTTCCTTTAAGGGGCTGGCCCGGCCGCTTCCTCTCAGGCGGTTCGGGATCCCCCAAATCCGCCGGCTTCCTCGGACCCGGACAGCCCTGGGCTGGGGGCGCTCCAGCGGTCCAAGAGCCGCCTGGGGCCAGTAAGTAGCTGGGGGGTGGCCGGACTGCTGGGTCCCTCTGCGGGCCGTGTCCACCCCCCACCCCCGCTTTGGGTCTCCTGCGGGCCCCCACGTCTCCCGGGGCAGGGTAGGGGAAGCTCACAGGAAGAGTGCCTTGGGCACCGCTGGTCTGTGATCGCCCCTGGGGCGCGCCCTGGGCGCGAGTTCAGGGGGAGCAGCGCAGGGGCACGGGCGGACCTGCGCGGAACCCCGGAGCGCGCCACGAGGAGACACATTTCCAGTGAAACCCGATGCCTCCGAGACCACTGCCCGGTCCAGCCCCTTTGCCACCGGGGCCCGCCGGATCCCTGCCCGTCTCGTGCGGTCTGGGTCCTGCGGCCTCCCGCACGGTGCGCGGCGCGCCGGGCTCTGTCCCGGCATGTGTCGGGTGCTCCGGGATCCGCGGGAGGCCGGGGGTGGGGTGAGGGGTTGGGGACAACCCGCGGGGGCGGCAGGCCGCAGACCTGCGCCCCTTGGCCTTTGCCGCCGCCTCGGCTGTCCCAGGGATGCGCGTCGGTTTCAGGACGCGGTTGGCGGGGGTTTCTGCCTTAGGGCAGGGAGACCAGAGACGAAGAGGGAGGGCGACCAGTAGCGCCCTGGGTAGGAGATGGGGTCGCTCGGGGAGGCATTTAGGGCCGGTGGGCAGCCAGGAAGGAAGCAGCGCGAGCCCTTGGACCCGGCTCTGTCACCAACTCGCTGGGGGGCCCCAGCAGCCTGTGTGACCCAGCCTGGACCATAGTGCCCAGCGCTGACCCCCCGGGGTGCCTCTGCTCTCTGCAGCAGGGGGAGGTGATTGAGAGGCGCCCTGGCCTCTCCGCCACGGCCCTGCGTGAGCCAGCCGGCTGGAATGCTGGTAGGAAACACCTCCGGCTTTCAGTTTCCGGGGGCCGCAGGTTTCAAAGGCGCCTGTGAAGCCTTGTCTAAACAGGGGGCACCGAAGTCTGATTCTTCCCCAGGAACCGGGGCTTGGAGAAACCTGGAAGGCAATACTGCCCCCTGCCGTTGGAGGGGGGGAACGCTACTCTCCGCCGCACAAATGAGGAGAGCCTGGGGGGCCCCATCTTCCTTCCGAGTTGGGTTTCCCCTTATTCTGCCGTGGGGACGGTCCCGAGGCACGTGGTGCTGGGAAAAGCAAAGGGTGGGCGGCCAGGAGACTTGAAATTTCTCTTACCGCTGCCTGTTTACCAAAGATAAAGCCTTGGATACTTCTCTCTCCTGCATGCTCTTGGCCTCAGTTTCCCCAACTGTAAAGAGAAGACAATGGTGACTGCTCTCTCTCCTAGGTAGTGAGAGGGGAGAAGGATCCATCGAAATAAGGGGAGACTGCACCTTTAACGTAGTAATAACTGCTCTATTTTGTGAGTGACAGCTTTGCAGACTTTCTCTCCCTTAATTTTCTAACCAGAGATATTTTCTGGTTAGAAGTGTTGTGACCTCCATCTGACAGACGAGGAAAGTGAAGTTCAGTGACTTGCCCTCTAATACACTGTTAGTAATTCAGGGGAACCAGAACCGAATCCTGGTGGCCAGTCTGATTCTAGAACCCGAAATCTGCTGTTATGTTCTTCTACCAATACATACGAGCAACGGTTTGTGGAACATCTGTTGTGTGTTGGGGCTGGACACAATTCATTGTATATAATCCTCACCACGTCCTAGAGTGAGGTTCTAGATGAGGACATGGAAGCACAGAGAGGTTGAGTAACTTGCTCAAGGTCACTCAGCAGGGTGCAGGTATGTCTTTGCCCAGGCAAAGCTCCAGCTGACTTGGGGAGCCTCCCATGACCCCCACGGTAGCCAGGGTAAGGGAGCCCAGACTGTCCATTGTTTCCCTGAGTGGTAGTGGTTGACTTTCGCCTAACATTCAGGATGGTCGTTTGTTTTCAACTGCTGAGCTTTCCCGTTAATCTGCTCTGGAGACCAGGAAACTTCTGTTCAGAGAAGTCAGATCAGCCAGCCAGCAAGTGGCAAGTCTAATGGGACGCCTCAGGCTTTGTGTGCTGCCCTGGTGTCAGAGAGGCTGGGAGAAGAGGGCCAGCTTCCATCTGGGTCAGAGCCCCTGGACACTGGGCTGATCTTCAGAACTCACTGTTCTTCTTGGGACCCCTCCCCGCATTCTAAGGTTGCATGACTGCTGGGTTAGCATCCAGCAAAGGGTGGTGTCGACCAGACCACACCTCTCCATTTGTGGGAAGGGTTTGTGGGGTTTTTTTTTTTTTAGGTAGGCTCCATGACCAACATAGGTCTCGAGCTCACGACCCGAGATCAAGAGTCACACGTTGCACTGACTGAGCCAGCTAGGCACCCCTGTGGTCGTGTTATTAAACCAGAGAGTGGGTATCCAGACTGGAGAGGGGACCAAAGTAATGAAGGAGAACAAGGGCTCTTTTGGGGCACCTGGGTGTCTCATTCGGCTAAGCATCTGCTCTCAGCTCAGGTCATGATCCTGGGATCGAGCCCCGCATTAGCCTCCCTGCTGAGAATTGGGTCTGCTTGTCCTTCTCTACCCGACCCCCCACACACACCATGCACTTTCTCTAATTAAATAAAATCTTAAAAAAAGCAAAAAGCAAAATTTAGGGCTGTCTTTAGCTGGAAAGAAGGAGCCAGAAGGAGGACATGTCCTGGAGCTAAGTAAGGCAGGAAGAGAGCCAGAATGGTTCTTCTAGAATGTCAGTCAGATTTGTGGCCATCCTCCACTGGAAACCCTCCAGTGCCTTCCCTTCAGCGGGCTGTGTCTGGTTCTGTGCCTCTGCCGGGGTGGGGACATCACTTCCTGCCTCCCTCCCTCTTGCTCCGCACTGGACTTCAAGCCCTTCCAGCCAAAGGCCTTTCTTTGCACTTGGTGTTCCCTCCCCTGGAATGCTTTTCCCTAGGATTCTCAGAGCTCACACCTTCAGTTGGTCCTCTTCTCAGCGAGGCCTTCCTGACCCATCCTGTCTCCTGCAGCACCTCTCCCCTGCTCAGCCTCCTCTGTCAACTTGCCACACTTTGGCAACACGGATGTCCCATATCCTATTTGCTGCCTGCTTCCCTCCCTGGAATGGGAGCTCTGGGAACTTCTGATTTGTATCCTGCGGGCCAGAAACTGTGCCTGGCATGGGGTGGATGCGGGACAAGTACTTGCTGAGTGAATGGGGTCCCGTGTTCCAGCTCCTTCATCCATCTCCGGATGAAGACTGTCACCTTAGCTATGCAACCTTGCATTTCTTCTCTGAACGATTTCATTTACTAATTTTTGAAGGGGGAAGCGCGCCTGCACACGTGCGTGAGTTGGGGGAGGGGCAGAGGGAGAGAATCTCAAGCAGACTCCCCGCTGAGCACGCAGAGCCAGACTTGGGGCTCGATCCCATGACTCCGAGATGATGACCTGAGCCAAAACCAAGGGTCAGTGGCCCAACCGACTGAGCCCCCCAGGTGCCCTGCAATTTAGCATTTCCGAACCTCCGTTTCCTTGTCTATACGTATAAGGGGGATAAAAATTCTGACACTGTGAAACCCACAGGCAATGACATCAGTGCAAATGCGCTGTCGAGCGGAAGGCGGTCCTCCTATAGGACAGATCCTTATGGGGGCTGGCTGGAGAGCTTCCAGTAGAGTCCCACCCCTGCCATCTTGGCCACCTGACCTTTGGACAGTTGCTTCATACCCTTGTGCCTCTGTTTACCTGTGGAGGAACTGGGGAGAGTAAAATTCTGGCTGACTAGGGTGGAGGGTCGTTCTTGGCAGGGTCAAGAGAGCTGCTGGCCATGGAAGCCCTTTAAAGCCAAGGGAGTGTGGGGGTGGGGTTTTGGAGGCACGGAAGGGGTGCCTAGGAGCTCGCTGGAGGCCCCAGAAGGTGCTACAGTCTTTCCTGCCTCAGTGCATGTTTCCGAACGATGAAGGACCTCATCCGCGACTGGGGAGAACGATGGGGGACTGAGGTCAGAGTGTCATGGAGCGGCGTTGGTCCAGGGTGATCTTTCTCAACATGCTGACATAATGGACCACTAAAACAGCATTTCTCACAAGCAAAGAGCAAACCTAAGCAAACTATGGATTCCCTAAGACAAATGCGGACACTCCTGAAGAAAAGCACGCATACGAAGGTCACTCCCCAGGCTCTTTGCTGTTCCGTGTTCAAAACTCGGGAACCAAACAGACTTGGATAATGCAGTACCCCTTCCTAGCCCACTGTCCCGCCTCTCGAGATCCAAACTCACACCATCTCAACTCAAGGATCCCGGGGTGCAGGAGGGGTGCCTGTACGGCAGCTTCATGCAAATTTTTCTGATAAGTGTAGGAATCCCTTGGTGAAGTTGCAAAGCCATTTCCCTTGAGTTTAAAAAAAAAAATGATTAAAGAAGATGGGTCCATCCTGGCTCAGATTCTTAATTTTGGCAAATCTGGTTTCTCCCGGAATCCAAGGTCCCTGAAAACCTCAGATTCTTAATTTTGGCAAATCTGGTTTCTCCCGGAATCCAAGGTCCCTGAAAACCATCTCAGAGGAGGAAGCCCTTGACCGGGAGGTGAAGGCTGCAAAGGCTGATTGACGGGGCGCTGGGTGCCAAGGTCAGTGGAGAGAATTCACGGTGCCGGTGTTCTTTATTAGGACTCTATTAGGTTTTGTCAATGTCTGGTTACAAAGCTGCATATGTTTTGAGTAATCTGCTCCAGCCTTATTCCCCCCCTCACCTTGTTATTATTTAATTGCAAAAATCTGTTTTTTCAGACACATCTGTATCACTTTGTGGCAGAAACACCTGCATTTGCTCGTCCCAGGGAAGCCCGTTCTCACTGGAGGGCGTCTGGGCCTGATGAGCCGCTGTGAGGAGGAGGCTGGGAACATGGCAGGTGGGGACCCAACCGGCCCCTTCTCTGGCACAGGCTGCGAGTGTCCAGGGACACGGCAGGGCCTGTCACCTCCAGCTCAGTACCAACAGCCTCTCGGTCCTGGTTCCAGACGTGGGACCTTAAGGAAGGGCAAGGAAACTCCCCTAGGAGTGTCTGCTGTGTGTGCTCTGCACACGTCACCTCTCGGAATTTGACATGGTCATTCTGGACTTTGGAGCTGGTTGTGGGTTCAGATCCCAACTCTGCCGTGTCCTCGCTGGGTGACCTTGGGCCGAGGAGTTAATCTCTCTGTGCCCTTGGTCTTCCCAGCGGTACAGTGAGATACTGGAAGGTTCCACCTCCAGGGCTTGTGGTCAGGAGTAAATGAGATAGTAAGTGCTCATTAAACTCAGTTGTCAGTATTTTTAGGCCAATGAGAGTGGTCCAAGTGAGGCTCAGCTGAGTTCACAAAGAGACTCAAAATGGGGGACTTCAATATGCTGGGACTTTGTTTCTCTCATGACACCGTGCACTGGGGGCAGTCCAGGGCTGCTGGACCTGGCTTTGCCGTTCAACCCATGATTTACATTTCTGAAACTGAAGTGGGACCTCTGGTCGCCCGCAGGTGGAGGGAAAAAAATGCCAGGGAACGGGATCCTTGTTTTAATCCAAGAGCTGTGTGTGGCATGTGTTACTTCACTCACTGCCGTTAACCAGCACGGAATCCCACGGCCCCTCTTGGCTGCAGAGGGAGGCTGAAATCACAGCTTCGTGCTGGCCGGTCACTCGCTTCTCTAGAACTAGGTTACTGTAGAGAGAAGTTGAGCACATGGGTGAGACATAGCTCATGGTGAGTTTTAGGAGGTTCATTTCACACACGAGGAAACCTGCCTAGAATCACGCAGCGTGTAAGGAGAGGAGATGGGGTTTGAACCCAGATCCTCCCATCCCCAGACTTCCGTACTAGGTTGCAGATTGTGCTGCCTGGTGGGGCTGCTGTGTGTCACCTGGGGGCTTCTCTTTGCCAAGAAGCGAGAGCTCAGAAGGGCCTCCTCCTATAGCCGTGCTTGGCACAGAGGGGGCTTTGGGGCTCAGATCTCCTCCAAGAGGCCTAGAAGAGTAGCAGATTCTACGTGTCAGCTTTCCCCGAATCTGCTTTTTCTCCAGCAAGGGCTCCTCACGGTCCTGGAAGCAAGAAGGTTCCCTGCTCAATTCCACCACCCTTCCTTACAGATTCCATGCTTTCCTCGTTTTCTTTTTCTTTTTTTTTTTTTTTTAAGATTTTTTTATTTGTCAGAGAGAGAGAGGGAGAGCGAGCGAGCACAGGCAGACAGAATGGCAGGCAGAGGCAGAGGGAGAAGCAGGCTCCCTGATGAGCAAGGAGCCCGATGTGGGACTCGATCCCAGGACGCTGGGATCATGACCTGAGCCGAAGGCAGCTGCTTAACCAACTGAGCCACCCAGGCGTCCCTCCTCGTTTTCTTTTTAAAGATTTTACTTAGAGAGAGAGAGACAGTACGAGCTGGGGCAGAGGAGGGTGGGAGTGGGGAGAGAGAGAAGGACAAAGCAGACCCCCCTGTGGGGCTCCATCCCAGGACCCCAAGACCATGACCCAAGCCAAAGACAGATGCTTAAGTGACTGAGCCACCCAGGTGCCCCATTTCTTTTTTTTTTCCCCCTCCTCCCCATTCTGGTCTCTTTTTGCTGTTCTCCCGCATTCTGGTCTCCATACAACAGGCATTCACGGGCCGCAGCCTTGTAATCATAGCAAAGGGGCAGTTCTCATGTTCTGCTTTGCCCATTTAAATTATACCTTAAGGCTGTTTCCACATTGCCGCATGATAATCATGGTCGTACTTCCAGATGCCCACTGCGCCCTGGCCTTGCTGCCCCACTGTCCGCCTTCAGCACAGGCCCTGGAGGGGTGCTTCTGACCTTGTGGCTCCTCTGCTTATGGCCGTCCCTGGCACCGTAGGACTTTTGGGACCAAGGCGGGAAGGAAAAACCTGGTCTGGAGACGGAAGGGCATCTAGATGCTGGGCCCGCTGACCCTTCTCACCACCTCTGCTCTGGATCAGCTAGGGTTTTGGCTGGAAGCAGAATTCACCCCAATGGTTCCAATAAAAAAGCTTTAATGAGGAAGAACCGGTTGACTTCTAGAGAAGGGGGTGGGGGGCAACCCACGAAGGAGTGGAAGACACAGACACAAGCAAGTTCCCTGCCCCCAGCCCTGGGAGGGGCTGCAGGAAGGGGAGGAAACGTGTTACACACCCCAGGAGAGCAAGTGCTGGGGAGAGGAGCCCACTGCAGGGCTGTGGTCACAAGGCAGCTTCTCCTTCCTCCGGTCCCTCTGCTGTGGCTGCCTCATGTTGGCCAAGTCCTGCTGGAAGCCAGAGGCCAGGACCGCGGAGAAGCTTCACAGGGACCAGTGCGGGCGGAGAAAAGCACAAATGGAGAACTTAGAGCACATTCCCAGCCCCCCACGGGTTCTCTCTGGCCTCTGGGCCTTTGCATTTGCTGGGCCCCTGCTGGGCACACCCCAGTGTCCTTTCCACCTAGCTAACTCCTGTGTCTTCAGTCTCTTTTCCTGCTCCTTTTCTCTACCCCACCTCTGCATTCCCCACACAGCATCCAGACTCCTGCCCGTGACTCTACCCTGTCTAGGCACTAAGTTCCTCCAAGGCTGCCGGTCTTTTAAATCAAGGGCTCAGCAAATGGCAGATGAGGGGGGCAGGGAAAATGAGGGGGAGGTGAGGGAGGCACTATTAGCCTTGGGTGCAAAATACACCTGGGGAGGAGGATCGGTGTGCACCAAAAAACCTTGGTCATCAAGATCTAATATTTAATGCAATATTTAAAAAACAACCCAACAAACAAACTACAGCCCAAGGCCTAGTTGCCTATTTTATTTGCGTGTCCATGGAAACTGGGATGGCCCCCGGAAGTGCTCTAAGTGTGGTGTTGGCTTTTTTTTTTTTTTTTTTTGATCTTGACTCAGTATAAGAAATCTGTGGGGTCCCCGTCACTCCCCAGCAGCGGCTCAGGACCGAGACAAAAGCTGGACAATGCAGGACTCCCCTTACTAAACATGAATTCACCTGAGATTTTCAGTCTAGTCTAGGCTCTTTGGTGCTCATAACTTTCTGATCCAATCGTGCCGTCTGAAAACTATTGATCCTGTCCTATCGTCCTGTGTAATTTTCTCCGCGGACTCCATGCTTCCTCCTCACTCCTCCCTAGGCTTTGCTGGCTTGCTTCTGGCCCATCTGGCCTGGGGGGGTGCCATCCCCCAAGGGCAGGGACCTGGACTCACTCCCCTCTGTCTTCTCGGCTCTGAGGACAGGGTGTGATGATCCGTAATTACCAGCTGAGCGAGTGAACAAGTGGGTGCTGTGACCCGGGGGTCCCCAGACCCCAGCAGCGGGCTTCTCTCATTGGCTTGTTTCTCTTCTCTTCCCAGCCTGCCCCGGACACCCTGGCACCATGGGCCCACTGCTCCTGGTCCTGCTGTACCCGCTGTCCTGCGTCTCCGGGCTGCCTTTCTACAATGGCTTCTACTACTCCAACCATCCCAGCTCCTGGAACAGCCACGGCGAAGGTGGGCGGCCTCCTGGCTCTGGCTCTATGCCTCGCCCGGGTGACCAGGACCTCTCCGGGCTCCTGCTGGGATAAGGAGGCTCCAGTCCAGGACAGGGGACAGGGCGTGGAGCCTGCTGCCCCTTCCCCTTCTGGGTCCTGAAGCAGACCAGGCGCATTTCTAAGACAAGGCCAGGGACGGTCCAGTTACTCTGTTTGCTAGTCCCTCGGGCTTCGAGCGCGTCGGAGCCGAGTGCACTTAAAGACAATCATCTGTGCGCTTCTGGGTGCTCCCGAAGTCCTGCCGGTTTTCCGAGATCCAACTTAAGTGGATCTCCCCCGTTGTCCCCAGGGGAAAAGGGGGTTTGAGATTAGAAAGATGTGAGTCTGAATCTTAATTTTGCCACTTTGTACCTAAACAGCTTTGGGCAGGTGACTTTTTTTAGGCAGGGGAGAGGCAGAGGGAGAGAGAATCATCAGCAGGCACCATGCTCAGCACAGAGCCTGACGTGGGGTTTGATCTCACAACCCTGAGATCACGACCTGAGCCAAAATCAAGAGTCGGATGCTCGACAGACTAAGCCCCCCAGGCGCCTCTGGGCAGATGACTTTTTAGTTAGCAGCTGTGTACCTACTATGCGCCAGGCACGCTTCTCGGTGCCGTCTGTACGCTGCCTCATACAATCCTCAGTAAACCCTGGCATAGTGGCAAGGTTGACAACCAGCACCGTGAGGGCACCCGCCACCCCACGCTGATGGGCAGCCCCGAAAGCAGATATTGTGGTTTATTTCATTTCCTAGATGAGGAAACCGAAGCTCACAGGGTTGAGCCAGCCTCCCAGGGCACACGGATCCTAAGAACCCGCCCTGAGATTTGTCTGTGGCAGGACTGCGGACCCAGCCCCCTGGTCGTGCCATGAACCTCCCTCAGGCTCTCAGGGAACATGTGCTCCTCACCCCTCCCTGTGCCCTGTGGCCGTTGATGGACCCGAACTTGTGTCTGTGTCGCTCCAATCTAAGTCTCCGGGGTCACATCTCCCTCGGCCCCCTTCTAAGAAGACACGTGTGACTGCAATCTGTAATCCGGGCTCCTCTCTTTCCCATAGAAGGCAGCTCCCACGGGTGCCAGGAATTAGGACCCGGCTCTCACGGGTGTCACTATTTGGCCTCCCACCCTCCTCGTCCCCCAGAGTTTGTGAGACAATCGCAACTTTACTGAGATTCAAGGAAACTTAAAAACTTAAACTTTCTACCCATCCTGTCACCGCTTTCCCTTCAGTCCCTGAATATGTGCGCACAAAATCACCAATAATCCCCCCCCACCGGGGGGCACCGTTGCTAACATGTGCCGTGGGTCCCTCCCGCCTTTGAGAGACGACTGAGAAAATTCTTTTTCTCCTCCTGCTCTACATGTGGGCTTGGGGATCTCCCTGCCACTTCATAGAATACAGTGTTTTTCCAGGGTCAAGGAGTGTCTGCTCTGTGTTTATTCGTACCCAGGAGGCCTGCTGGTACATATGTATAGGATTAGATGTACATCGTCTCCACCAGAAGTCCCGACCTTCTCTCACCTGCACTTCTAGGCGTTTGGGGAGCATCAGGGAGAACAGTTGGACAGAAAGTGAAGGGCAGGCTGTGCTCTCCCGCGGCCACCGTGGTGGCTCTCTTAGGGAGAGCTGCGTCCTTGCCAGCCGCCTGAGAAGGAGGTGCTCTGGTGCCTGCTAAATCAGGTAGCTTCTTAGGCACAACAAACTGAACAGTTTAAGGCAACAGTCATTTTTAGTGTTTTTTTTTGTTTTGTTTTGTTTTTTTTCTTTTTTTGGTTGTTGTTTTGGCTCGTGATTCCAAGGGTCAGCATTCTGGGCTGGCGTCCACATCCTTGGTCCCGGCTGTGCTCACTCTGTTGACTGTGCCTGCAGTCGGTAGGACAGGTCAGCTGGGAGCTGGTTGGCTTAGGATGGCCCCAGCTGTGAGGGCTTGTCTCTGCTCCCCGTGGGCTCTCCCTCTCCAGCAGGTGCACCCAGGTTCATTGTCGTGGGGGTTGGCAAGGTTCCGGGAAAGAGTGGAGCCAGGCTGAGAGCAGGCACAGGGAAATAGTCACTTCTGTTGCGTTCATGTGGTCAGAGCAAGTGGCACGGCCAGCAGGGATTTAAGGGGGAGGGGAAATGACGTCCCCTCCTGATAGAAGACGCAAAGCCGCAGTGCGGGGAATGGGGAGGAGCGGAACATTACGGCCATTCCTTCAAGGTGTGACTCCTGAGGCTCGGGCGGTCCTTGCAGGGGCACGGGTGGGCTGGAGCAGGCCCCATTGGCACCCCACCTCTCTCCCAGGCATCTTCAATGGGGTGAAGCTGGTGGTAGAGACGCCCGAGGAGACCCTGTTCTCCCACCCAGGGGCCAACGTGACCCTGCCCTGCCGCTACCACTACGAGCCAGCCCCGCTGTCCCCGAGGTCCGTGCGTGTCAAATGGTGGAAGCTGTCGGAGAACGGGGCCCCCGAGCTGGATGTGCTGGTGGCCATCGGGCTGAGGCACCGCACCTTCGGGGACTACCGAGGCCGGGTGCACCTGCGGGAGGATGGGGAGCGAGAAGCGTCGCTGCAGATCCGGGACGTGCGGCTGGAGGACTCCGGGCGCTACCGCTGTGAGGTCATCGACGGGCTGGAGGACGAGAGCGGCCTGGTGGAGCTGGAGCTGCGGGGTGAGGCCCCCATGGGTGGGCAGGGGGGTCGTGGGGGCCCAGGCTATGGGGGGAGGGCCCCGAGAAACTGTCTAGAACTCTGTGCCTTAGACAGCCATACAGTCCTCAAAACCACCCCACGGGGAAGCTACTGCTGTCATCGCCCCCATTTTACAGATGAGGAAACAGAGGCACAGGGAGGCCAGATAACTTCCCTAAGATCATACTGCCCACAAAAGGGAGCATAGGAGTTTGACCCCCAGGCAGTCGGGCTCCAGAACCCACCACTCCCCTGGCTCACACCTTACTCAGAGGGCAACAGGAGCTGAAACTCCGGTGGGGGGTTGTAAGTGACACAAACCAAGGAGGCCGCCCCGTGTGAGTGGCAGGAGTGGTGGGCACTGGGGCCACGTGGCTGAGCCCTTTTCCTGTCCCATAGGAGTGCCCTCCCTACTCAGGCCCAGAAGCAGACCCCACACAGCCAGGTTTTCTGACTCGACGAGAGAAGCATATACTTTTTTTTTTTTTTTTAAGATTTTATTCATTTATTTGACAGAGAGAGAGATCACAAGCAGGCAGAGAGGCAGGCAGGCAGAGAGAGAAGGGGAAGCAGGCTCCCTGCTGAGCAGAGAGCTCAATGCGGGGCTCGATCCCAGGCTCCTGAGATCATGACCTGAGCTGAAGGCAGAGGCTTAACCCACTGAGCCACCCAGGTGCCCCGAGAAGCATATACTTTTATGTGAAATCTCTGAATTTTTCTGTAAAATCTTCTAATGAAAAAAAAAGCAAGAGTCACAACTCTGTTTGGTGTAAACCATCCAGAGCTCGCACACCAGACCTTGTGTGTGGGCTCCCCGGGGGCAATCTCTAGGGACAGTTACCCTCTCTGTCCCTAGGACGGGCTGTGTGTCCCCATACCTCTCCTACCTGTGAGGGAGGCAGCTGGGAGGCATAGAGGACCATGTTCTGGCTCCAAACCTGGCCCGCCCCAGCTGTGACACCTTGGGTAGCCGCCCCATCTCCTCGGAGCTCTGTCCCCTCCAGTGTGAAACGAGGGCCTCCTCCACCTCCTTGAGAGGAGATGAGGATAAAAGGCGAGTCAGGGACTTTCCCATCAGCATCCCAGTCTAGTCCAGACAGCGTCTAGCAGGGTCAGATTCCGCACCCCTGATGTTGGGTATGACAAGGAGGGGAGGTCTGTGTGGCCAGGGGAGAGTCCCCTGACAGCTCCCAACCTGCTCACTGTGTCCTCATGTGATGGAAGGGGTGTGCGACCTCTGTGGGGTCTCTTATAGAGGGACACTGGTCTCATTCACAAGAGCTCTCCCCTCATGGCCTCAGTCCCTCCTAGGCCCCGCCTCCAGAGACCATCCCATTAGGCCTTGGGATTTCCACAGAAAGTAGGGGGACACATCGAGACCATTCTTGCAGCTGCTCTGCAAATTCGGGGGTATGTCCATTCTATAGGTGGGGACATTAATTGTCTGAGTCCTTTGTGACCTTCATGAGCTAGTCTGTGTTTCCTGAGTACCTCTGTGTAGCGGCCCAGTCCTAGGAGGGCGGCGGGAAGCAGACGTAGACTCCGCTTCGGACCTGGACGTGGAGTGGGGATGCAGGAACTGGAGTCTCCAGCCCGCCGGACCCCTGCGCACCCCTCAGGCCCCTCTTTCCTCCCTCCCCAGGTGTGGTCTTTCCCTACCAGCACCCCCGAGGGCGCTACCAGCTCAACTTCCATGAGGCCCAGCGGGCATGTGAGGAGCAGGACGCGGTGGTGGCCTCCTTCGAGCAGTTGTTCCGGGCCTGGGAGGAGGGCCTGGACTGGTGCAATGCGGGCTGGCTGCAGGACGCCTCGGTGCAGTACCCCGTCACGCGAGCCCGGCAGCCCTGCGGCGGCCTGGGCCTGGCCCCCGGCGTGCGCAGTTACGGCCAGCGTCACCACCGCCGGCACCGCTATGACGCGTTCTGCTTTGCTCCTGCCCTCAGGGGTGAGTGCGTGGGGCGGTGGGGGTGGGAGGGCAGCCTCTGGGGAGCCTTGGGAACCCTCTGCCCGCACTGCCAGCACCTTACCTGGAGGTCTGGAGTCCTGCAGGGCTGGAAGCCACGTCTGGCTGAGTTTGAGGGCTTTGCTGCTGCTTCACGCCCATCACTGGTTTACTTGGTCATCGGACCTTTTTTGAGGGCCTCCTGCATGCTGGGGCCACACTAGGGTCTGGGCATCCCAGACAAACAGAGCACGGTCTGTCCTCACGTTGATTTCACGGGAAAATCAACAAATAGAAACAGAAATTGGTTTGTTGTCACATCCCAAGCATTCAGAGAAGTGTCCAGCACATAGGTACCCAGTAAACGATTTTTTTTAAGATTTTATTTTTAAGTCATCTCTACACCCAACATGGGGCTCGAACTCACAACCCCAAGATCAAGAGTCACACGCTCCACCCACCGAGCCAGGCAGGAGCCCCAGGGACTCAGTAAATGATTGGGTGAGCGAGAGACTCCGTTTGGAGCAACTAGGGGTGGCGTCCGCTCAGGGTGCAATTAGGGAAGGGAGAGGTGGAGTACAGACATGGTGGGAGGGACCCTGGTGCTCTGGCAGGTGGGATGGAACCCTCAGGGAGGGGGTCAGAATTGGGAAGGTACCTCCCCAAAGGACACATGGCCAGTGGCCACAGCCTCGTGGTTCCCTGGGTTCATCATTCTCAGGTCTGTCTGAGGAGGTCAGACGGGCGGGCGTTTCTGCGGGCCCCACTGTCCTCTCAGGCTGCCCCCCTACCGCCCAGCCCTCACGCCCCACTTTCCCACAGGGCAGGTGTACTACCTGGAGCTCCCTGAGAAGCTGACCCTGGCAGAGGCAAAGGAGGCATGCCGGGAAGACGGCGCCCGCATTGCCAAGGTGGGCCAGCTCTTTGCCGCCTGGAAGTTCCGCGGCCTGGACCGCTGTGACGCTGGCTGGCTGGCGGATGGCAGTGCCCGCTACCCCGTGGTTCACCCGCGTCCCAACTGTGGGCCCCTGGAGCCCGGCGTCCGAAGCTTCGGCTTCCCGGACCCGCAGAGCCGCGAGTACGGCGTGTATTGCTACCGACGGCGCTAGTCCCTGGAGGGGTTGCCCCGCTCTGGCCCCTCCCGTCTCACGCTGTATTTATTGAGTGGGTGATTTTCTCTCGGGGGTTGGGGCAATTTTTGTATTGTTTTTATACTTCGCAAGTTAAATTTTTTTTAATTACTTTTTTTTTTTTTTTTGTAAATCCAACATTGCAAATCCTCCCTTTGTTCTGGTGGATACCCCAAGGCTCCCCGCTTCTGGGAAGCCCTCTGCCCCTCTCCTCCAGGCCGGTGGAGGTTCGTGGGCTCACAAGGGCTCTCTAGCGTCACTGAGCGCTGCCCTGAGCGTACGATGACACGTGGTGGCTGCAGCGTCCCCCGCACCTCAGCCTGGGGGAGGGCAAGGGTGTCCAGGGGACCCTGGAGCTGGGCATCGTGGTCTCCTGCCTCTTCCTCCCCCTCTGCAGAGCTGCTGGCCCAAGTCAGCAAGGCTGAGGAGCTAGCGCTCGAAGCAGGTCCCCAGGCTTCTACGTGAAGTCCCAGGAAAGGGAGAAATTTCTCTCTCCAAAAAGTCTGTATTTTGTTCTCCTTTCCCCCTGCTCAGGGAGTGGTCCTCAGGGGCGTGCGTCTCTTTGGACAGTAAATGGTGCTGTGACCCCTGTCCCTGTGTCCAGCTCTCTGCCTCATTCAGTCCTGGTGTGCACCCAGCTCCTTTTCCAGGGAGAGTGGGGGGCAGCACTATTTTGGGGAGCTCTGTGGGCTGCACCTTCCGGCCCCGTGGTTCTGGTTTGCCTGCCCTGTGGCTCCATGCCCTGGGCGCTGGCCCAGCTGCTGGAGCTCCAGCCTGCTTTTCCACAGTCTCCACTCCCGGGCTGCATGTCAGTGGGGGCCCAGAAGAGAAGGATGCACCTCTCAGGACACAGAGGAGGCTGTGCTCCCCGCCACCCGCCCCAATAGGATCTTGGAGACCAGTCCTCTCTGTGTCTCACCCTCTTCCCCCGGCCCCCACCCCAGCTTCAGGAAAGCAGGCCTGCCTCTGCCCAGGCACCCGTCTGCCACTCTCACTAGGTTATGGAGTCTGTTCCACATGTGGGCCCGTGCTTCTCAAAGCATGGCCAGGCAGCACCCCTGGGGGATTATTAGAAATGCCAGTTTCTGGACCCCACCCCAGACGGCCGCGGGAGAAACTCTGTGTTATCACAGACGCTCTTGATTCTGATCCAGGTTTGAAAACCACAGATGTTGTTGTACTCCCAACTGATCATCTAATCACTTACACAGTTACTGAGCCCCTTCTATGTGACCATCATTTACTTCTGTCCACTCGTTGTTTCCAGACTCATGGGTAATCTGGACACGTGTGTATGTTCACCTACAAATACTCGACCACACGAACACACGCCCGAGAAGATACCAGCAAACTCACAGCAGCACGCACTAACCAGCGCCCAGACTCTTTCCCAAACACCGACGCAGGGGCCCACTGAGCAACTGAGCTGAGCAGGGGGCCCCCATCTGGCCTCTTAAGAAGCAGGCTCGTGGGGGGACCGTCCCCTGCCTCCACTCAAGGTCTCCTGAGGGAATCCATAAGCCATTGTAATCGCTTTTGTTGATATCCTATAGCCTCCTTGAGGGCAGGACGCCCAGACCTTTTGGCTAGTGGCCAGCCAACTAGCTAAGCACAGATACGTGTAGGCAAGATGCCCCGTTCCCAGGCTTTCTGCGGCTGCTTCTGCTCCCTCTTCTCAATCCTGATGGGCCTCTGCTGGTGACTCGCTCCACCAAGCATCTCCTAGGGGAGCAGTGTGCGATCAAAGAACCAAACTATGCAAAGTAACCAGATGTCCCATTTGGGTGGGCGTTTGACAGTACATGCGTGTGCACCCACAGCCACAGCCACAGCCACACCCACGGCCCTTCAAAGGCACAGGTGCCCTCACAGTAACAGAGTGCAACAGGTGTGACTGTTCCAGGCTTCGTGAACAGACAACAGTCACCCAATTTGGAATCCTTTGCTGGAAACACGTCCCAACTGCCCCCATTCCTAAGGGCCCCTTCGGTCCGGTCGACCTCAGACCCTGGTTGCCTTCTCTTGAAATTTAAAAAAAGGGAAAAGAGAAGAAAGAGGTCTCTTCCAATGTCTTTATTATTATAATTATCATAATCTTTAGTTTTCAAAAATATAAATAGGTGCACGGAACTCTGGTGCCTGCACGGTCCCGGGGGGGGGGGGGG